GTGTGTGTGTATGTGTGGTGTGTGGTGTGTGTGTATGTGGTATGTGTGTTGTGTGTGTATGTGTGTTGTGTGTATGTGTGGTGTGTGTATGTGGTGTGTGTGTATGTGTGGTGTGTGTGTGTGGTGTGTATGTGTGATGTGTGTGTGTGGTGTGTGTGGTATGTGTGTGTATGTGTGATGTGTGTATATGTGTGATGTGTGTGTGTGGTGTGTATGTGTGGTGTGTGGTGTGTGTGTATGTGTGGTGTGTGTGTGGTGTGTGTGTATGTGTGGTGTGTATGTGGTGTGTGTGGTGTGTGGTGTGTGTGTATGTGTGGTGTGTATGTGGTGTGTGTGTATGTGTGGTGTGTGGTGTGTGTGTATGTGTGGTGTGTGGTGTGTGTGTATGTGATGTGTGTGGTGTGTGTGTATGTGTGGTGTGTATGTGTGATGTGTGTGTGTGGTGTGTGTGGTATGTGTGATGTGTGTATATGTGTGATGTGTGTGTGTGGTGTGTATGTGATGTGTGTGGTGTGTGTGTATGTGTGGTGTGTGTGGTGTGTATGTCTTTTCATAAAACTACTTCCTGATTCACTTAGAATTTGTACCACTTGTTCTTTATTTTTTTATTTTGTTATTTTATTTTGCATCTTATTTTATTATTATTATTATTTTTTTTGAGACAGGGTCTCACTCTGCAACCCCAGCCGGCCTGGAACTTGCTATGTAGACAGCCTGATCTTGAACTCACAGATATCCACCTGCCTCTGCCTGTCAATCCTGGGATTAAAGGTGTGCACCACCATGCCCTACTCAGCCTTGTTTTTTTAAATGAGCATTATTGCTATGGATTATTCCATAACTGTGGAACATTCCAGAATGTTCTCATTATTACAAAACTCTATAATTTCATTCATGTTTCCACTACATGAGGTTTTGTGAAATGTGCAAACCTTTGGCTGTCCAATTTTCTCCTTTGATTATTTCAATAAAAACTTCAATTGATAAAACCTAACTTTAAATCAATATGCAGTATAAAATTAGTCTTGGGGAAACTTAGTTTGCTATCATTTTATGTAAGTAAATGTATGCAAAATTGTTTTCTCTATAGTATATAAATTCATGTGCAATCAATCTTTAATTGCATTATTCAAACATCTGGATTGACACATTCTGTGGAACAGTTATAAAATTTCAATGAGAAATTTTGCAATTTTCTACCTATTGTTATCGTTCAAAACATAAATTTAGCATTCTTTGTCTTAAACAAAGCATCACCATGTTGACATTGGTGTCAGTGAAGCCAGAGGTCATGCACACGCCCCGACCCCCAGGAAAGAAGAGAGGTAAAGTCCCCCCACTGAAACAGGCCACTTACATTAGTTGCAACAGAGAGGATGGCCATTCCATAGAGAATGTCTTGCCAAACACCTATGCTGTGAGCTTTCGCGGCGACGGGTCTCCTGTACTGAGTGGTAAGCTTCCAGGCATCCACCCGGATCTCCACGATGTTGTTTATGAGGGCAAACAGAGGCGCCAGGGGGAAAGAGGCCACGAACAGTGTGACAAACCCAAACTGGATAACTGGAGAAAGAAAAGGGATTAATCATTACTGCACAGGGAGAGGGGGCGTGTTCGGGCCAGCTAACACAGACGCAAACCTCCCACTCCTACTGCCTGCCCGCTGCCTTGAGGGACAGGGAGACAGATGGCTCGCCAGAAGCACAGCTCGCCCTTCATTGCGGTCTCTTGGAAATCTGCTTGCTGAAGACACTATGCTTCTTTGGTTTCCATAACCTGGTAGGTTTAGGGCTATGACTATCCAGTCTTTACATCTGCACCGACTTTTGCATTTGCCCCGGGGTAGTAACTTTTCTATTTGGTAATCTATGCACTTTGATACCTAATTTATTTTCATGATTCCAGTAGCCAGCATATGTATGTGTGAATACAGATATAAACACACATGTAAACACACACCTATAATTTATATATAGGCAAAGAAAATAGAGCTTGTCAGAATAACATGTTTATTAAGGCTCTGATCTTCTGTGGCCGCTCCACATCTTTCTAAAACAATTTCACCCTCTCTCCTCATTCAGACACAGAGGAGGACTCTGCCTGTCCGGCTGGCTTCTCCCCTCATTTTGGTCGGTTCTTAGCCTTGCTTGGAATAACAGAGCCTCTGCAACGGGCAATTTGGATTTCCCTCTTGTGACAAGCAACAGGAAATATGAGATGATTTCCCACTAAAGGAAAAGAGAGACTCATCTTCAGTCCTCCATTTTCAAATGAATACTGAATGTTTCTGGATTTCAGTTTTTCTCCTAAGGCTGAATCGACCTTGTCATAGTGAGCAAGCAACACAGACCCAGCCCCGCCTGTTCCCTCAGCAGGGGGTGGGGGCGGCATAGAAGCTCCAACTTTCTACTCTCAGATCTTTACCTAGAAATTTGTGACCCCTAGAAAAATCATAAATGTATTTAATTTCAGTATCTTCAGAATAAAAAAACCAAATAAATTAATGTCCATTAATGACAATATAGCACAATTATTTGAAGACTAGAGATGATGTAAGAGAGCTTCCTGCACAAATTAACTCAATAAGCAGATGTTAATCTTGTTATAAAAGACTGATTTAATCTTTCTGATCTCCGGTGCCTGTATGTCTACATCTATTCGAAACTTACACATAACAAAAATTACAGCCTTAGCACTCATAAAGGACTATGAAACTTTATAAGGAGCTGTGTAAAACTGGCATTCCTATTTCTTCATGCAATAATACATAATATCCAACTAACACTATACAATATAAGGTATCTTATGATGTTGGTTTAGATGGAGGGATAAGAAAGGTTCTACATCACACTCACAGATTTTAAGATAAACATATATTATGTATTATAAATTTATCATTAATGGTTTTCAGGTCATGTCCATTGCACCAAGAACTTATGGGCCTTGGCACTAAGTAACATAAACAACCCTCCACAGTTCTACTAAGCCAGGGAGAGTCAGAGTAGAGAGCTCTGCACAGAACACAGTCCTCTGAACAGTCCTAGCATCAGTTCTCTAAAAATTCACTTCAGTGTTTCTTCTCTCTTTAGTCACTGGAACAAAGAAACACTGAATTATTTTATCTATCTATCTATCTATCTATCTATCTATCTATCTATCTATCCATCCATCCATCCACTTACTATTCCTCCAACATCCATCCATCCACCCATCCATCCACCCACCCATCCATCCACCCACCCATCCATCCACCCACCCATCCATCCATCTTTTTTATTCAAGAACATCAAATTTATCACACAGAAAACAGAAATAGCAAGAGATAAAAATCTATTCATTTTATTGAGACTGACTCCATGCATTAGAACAGTGATTTAGAAATACCTGTTTCTAGGTACTCATAGAACAAGCCGAGGGGCCCAAAAACCTGAAGGTCATGATCTTGCTCCCAGCGACTATACAGTTTCTCCGAGTTGGTTTGAGCTTTTCGGCGTCTCCACCAATTGAAAATCAAGCTGTGAGAAAAGACAAAAGTTGATTTTAAATGAAAGAGGTCAGAGATGTAGTGTGTTAACTCTGGAAACTGTCAGAAAGAGAGGCTGAGTAACTTAAGGTATACAACGTAAAGTAAAGTTCAAATGAAAATGCAGTGTTCTTTTCACCACATCCGTACAAATGCATTAAAGGGAAACAGACAAGGCCAGAAAATAACGGTTTATGATAAGTAATCATGAAGATGTAAAGTAAGACCCCCCCCAAAGGCAGAGTCAATATACACCCAAACATATCAAAACGAGTAAACAGCACAATATGAAGTGATGCAGCAATTACAGAGAGAAAAGACCGTCAATAGGCTGGCCGTACTTAACTGAAATGCAATGGGGAATAAGGATGGAGGGGCACATAGAGCTAGGGATTCGGAGACACTGCCAGATGGCATTGGGAGTGGAAGAAAGATGGGGGGGGAGAGAGGGAGAGA